CATCTTGCCCGCAAAAATACGATGTGTCAAAAAGACGGTTTTTCTCTTGACACCGCTATTATTTTAACTACCTTCACTCCTCGGCAATGTTTATTGTTTTTAAAAAGCGATAATTAAAATTGTAATAAAACGTAATCATATGATGAAAGTGACTTTATGCATGTTTTTGTTCTTGAGAATTTACAACAAAAATAGTAACCACTATTTATTTATTAGATTATATATTTGCAAGAATAATTTTATATTTACGGCAAACTCGCTCATAATAAACAAAAACAAAAATGTCGATAGTTTTGATTTTCCAAACGCTACACTAATTAAAAAAAGAACATAACTCTTTACGTAGAAAATACTTCGAAGGAATCCCGATAAATATATTACCAACGATAAACACACGTCAAAACACTATATCACACCACTAAACTTTATTAAATCCATTCTTAAAGAATTTAATGTATATTTTAATTAGCCTTATCACAACCGGTGCTGACGTACAAACGTCCTCCAAACAAATGAGGGCAGCTTCCAAATATAAATAATGCCTACTAGACACACCCACACACACACATACATATATACACTATGAATTGTCTGTATAGTGTAGTCGTATCACCACACCACAGAGGTTACATCAGTGACTTTGGCTTTTGCAGTAGTTTTTGGCTAAGCATTCACCATGTCCGACAACCACTATATTCCCCTGTTCTTTGTGACTATTTCCTCTACAAAAATCAAATCTCACTTTAAAGGAACAAGATTTCATGACGTCGAGGCAAAACAATGCGACAAGACAGCTGCTCGCTATCGAAAAATTCCAGCAATGCTTCCATTAATAGAAACGACGCGGTATATAGTACGTGGCTTCAGAAAAGGACTACTTCAAAGGAGATTAAATGCCGAATTAATATGTCTTGTAGTTTTCTTTTTATCATAGCAGTATATTAGGGAATATAATACACCACAAACTTTACTTTTTTGCAATAGAAACGACGCTGCATAAAGTACGTGGCTTCAGAAAAGGACTACTTCAAAGCAGCTTAAATGCCGCATTGATATGTGTTGTAGTTTTCTTTTTATAATACCAGTATATTAGAGAATATTGGGCTTTATCCAAAACTGATTTTTTGGGATAGCGAGCATATTTCAACCCTCAAATACTAGTGATATTGCATGGTATTGCTATGATGAGAATTCTTAATGCATTTTTAGTATATATATATATATATATATATATATATATATATATATATATATATATATATATATATATATATATATATATATATATATAAGTTATCGTTCAAATAAAGAGATAGATAAATAGATACTGAAATATATACTTACGTAGATGCAGTTATATATATTGTCTAAAACTTCAACATAGATATGAACACCTGTACGTACAATTCTTTTGCATAAAATATACACGCACCTATATATATATATATATATATATATATATAGAGAGAGAGAGAGAGAGAGAGAGAGAGAGGGGGAGAGATTGTCTCTCAATCACACTTAGCCTAATTATAGGACACATGGTAAACATATATTCCTCTAAGTAGGCAATTAACCGCCTATATAGACAAGCTTGTGAGATTCCCAAGTGATAAATGTGAAATTGATGACGGCCGGTGTTTCCACGAGGCAGGGGAGAAGGGAATAAGTGGGTGAGGTAATGAGTAGCAAGTTCGGTTTGAATTTCATCTCTCCTTTTTATTTCTTGCGATCGTTCACCTTAATCGCAGTTATGCGAATTCCTTGCCTCTCACCAACCACATGTCTCCGAGTTGTCGATTCCCTCCTTGCCTTGACGAAAAAGAACAACAAAATAAATGGTAAATACCGCACAAAATGATATAAATGGCTCTTAAGACTTGTTTGCGCGCTGTTTTCTGCACGAGTTGTCTTCAATGCTATGTTGCTCATTGCATCTGAAAGGTTGGGCTCAAGTCTGAGACGATAATCTTGCAGAGTATTCTTGATGGATTCTCTTTTTCTTTGTTTCTTTTTTGTCGGTCTGAATGAAAGAGTGACATTTATTATGCCAGCGTCTGATTTGAGACAAGTCGGTACTTAAAAAATCCTGAAATTCTTATTTCGTTTTTAAATAAAATTTCCATCTATCCATATTGTTATGGTCCGGTTCCTTGTACCACGGTGATAGTCCAAGGTAGAACCAATAAAGAAGAACTCAAACACGTATATAGAATAACACATATATATTACAAACAGGAATATATACAGAGAAGTAGAAAGGGTTAGTACGAACAATCAGGTTTAGTAGTAATTGTCTGAACGCGATTCTGTTTCGGACTGCCTCTGACTCGACTGACTGACTCGACTGACTGACTCGCTCTGACTGACTGACAGACTCCTGACGGACATCACTCCAGACTTCAGACTGAACTCTAGACTTCAAACGGAACTCCCTGCTTCCTCTTGAGGCGCAGTATTTATTACGTCTGGAATAGTCCATTATGTTATTATGGGTAAGGTCCCATAACACACACACACACACACACACATACACACACACACACACACACACACACACACACACATATATATATATATATATATATATATATATATATATATATATATATATATATATATATATATATATATATACTTTACAAAACTGCACCTTACCTTTCCTAGACATCATGTTACACCGAGATGACAGCAGCCTAATACTCAGTGTCCACCAAAGATCAACCAATAAAAATGACCTAATAAACTTCTATTCCCATCATAACAACAAAATAAAATCCAGAATTATCATTGGATTCTATTTAAGACCACTCAGAATTTGCAGCCCTCAACATTTACCTGAAGAGAAGAAATATATTGAAAATATATTCAAGACCCTCCAATACCCTATTTCATATTTAATGTGGAAAAAAAAGGCTCGTAAATTATTCCAAATCAGCTGTCCTTCCTGACAAACTCAACAAATCAAAAAATATATTATTCTGCACACTAACTCTATCAGAACTACAATCGAAAAGAATTCAACATAAAATTTATCGCAACTACATCTAAAACAATTAAAGACTCAATCAATGAAAGGCAAAACAGCAAACCAAAACTTGAAGGAGGAATTTACTCTATCAACTGCGAGGATTGTCAGAAAGAATATACTGGAGAAACTCAAGAAGTTTAAACAAAAGACTATATGAACACAAAAGGGACATTTAAAAAAAAAATAACGCTCAAAACGCATTGGTTGTTCACCGTACAATTTTGACATAGGGACTGCTACTTTCATTAAGAGAGAAAATAATCCACAGAGAAAAAAATGTCTGGAAAGTGACTTGATCGCTAGTTCAGCCACGATATATTTGAGTCCAAGCTCTTACAATATATCATCATTCTTGGTAGATTTTCTGTTGTCACAATGTGGGATAGTCAGGGACAAAGTTTATCGAGAGAAAAAGAAAAAGAATACAGAGGAATTTGGTTAGATTGAAAAAATATTCTTTCAAAAATATATTTTTCCAAAATTTTGAAACTACTAGCGTCTCTCGTTTTGTGTGCAGGTGTAGACGTGACGACATTAACAGAAGTTCAGTCCATGCAACTCTGAAGGAGGAAATACGACACAAAACTTTTTCCAGTTTTTCATACTATTTTTCTAAATACTGTCTGCTGATTATTTATACAAAATTATATATCGTTATATCATGCATATCTCTCTCTCTCTCTCTATATATATATATATATATATATATATATATATATATATATATATATATTATAAAAAGAGAGAACAGTAAGATATATAATCCGGTGTTCTTATTAATTATTTTATTTTTACAAAACAGTGCTCAATGCAAATCTACAGCGCATAAATATTATGTATGTGCTTATGAAACTGAGTAAATTTCAAAATAAATTATTCCAAACTTCGCTTGAAAATTAAACAGAACTAGGGACATTAATTTAATTCTATAATTGAATTTGAAGTTTTTATTTTCTGTTTTTGAAACATGGTAATTCCTGTGTGGCAATGGAACCATATTTTTAAAGTTTTCATATGAATTTTTTATGAAATTTATGGATATGTTCCCCGTAGAAAAACTTACCAGACATATGTCTACCGAGATATTTATCAACACATCATAAAACACATACTTCCTTGATAAAAAAAATACTCTTCTGCAATATTTTAACTAAAAGTAATATATTTTAAATCCAATTAATTAAATTTTAAATCAGCTTATCTTTCTCAAATAAAGTTTCAAAAAAGTATATTTTATTTTTGAAAGATTTTTTAAATAAGGTAAGCTCCTTAAAAAAAATCATTCCAATCAATTTCATTTTGTTTTGAAATACAGTAAAGTACAGTATTTTTCTTATTGAAACCATTAAATTTAATTAATTGGTTTCAAATTAACGGTTATTTTGGTGGGAGTATTTTGTTAATTTGTTTATTGTTTATTTATTTATTTGGATATATTTATTTTACTTTTGCTTTTTCTTATTTGTTTTTATTTTATATATTTTTATTTATTTTTTTCGGGTTCCGCCAAAATAACCCGTAAGTAAAGCCAACCCACAATGCACCACAGGCCTGTATATATAAAGAATCCTGAAAAATTCAACACATGTGGCCTGATGATTGTGTTTAGCATGAAACAGTCTGTCGCCTCTGAGTATTAACTTCAATGTTCACTTTTATATTTACTCTAAACTACCCGTGAGCTTTTGGTCTCTGACGCTCCAACATTGGAGTTGATTTCAGCAGTAACATATTGTGTGTTTGAGGAAAATTAAAATAAAAATACTTACTGTATATGCAACTCGCATTTTTAAATATTATTCACGTAAAATATTTTAAAATCAGACTAACTTAAAAATATTTTTTAATATGCCAAAAGATATTTTTAAATTATATTCACTTTAAAATATTTATAAAATATGCCAAAAATAGTTTTTAACTATTTAAAATATTTTTTTAAAGAAAGCTAAAATATAAATAAGAATGCACGCAATCACAGAGAGATTGAAAAAGAAAAGTGGAAAGAGAGAGATGGAAAGACGGAGATGTGGAAAGGGAGAGGTGGAAAGACAGAGAAATGGAAAGAGAGGTGGAAAGAGAAAGGTGGAAAGAGAGAGATGGAAAGACGGAGATGTGGAAAGAGAGAGATGGAAAGACGAAGGTGTGGAAAGGGAGAGGTGGAAAGACAGAGAAATGGAAAGAGAGGTGGAAAGAGAAAAGTGCAAAGAGAGAGATGGAAAGACGAAGGTGTGGAAAGAGAGAGATGGAAAGACGGAGATGTGGAAAGGGAGATGTGGAAAGACAGAGAAATGGAAAGAGAGGCAGAAAGAGAAAAGTGGAAAGAGAGAGATGGAAAGACGGAGATGTGGAAAGGGAGAGGTGGAAAGACAGAGAAATGGAAAGAGAGGTGGAAAGAGAAAGGTGGAAAGAGAGAGATGGAAAGACGGAGATGTGGAAAGAGAGAGATGGAAAGACGAAGGTGTGGAAAGGGAGAGGTGGAAAGACAGAGAAATGGAAAGAGAGGTGGAAAGAGAAAAGTGGAAAGAGAGAGATGGAAAGACGGGGATGTGGAAATGGAGATGTGGAAAGACAGAGAAATGGAAAGAGAGGTGGAAAGAGAAAAGTGGAAAGAGAGAGATGGAAAGACGGAGATGTGGAAAGGGAGAGGTGGAAAGACAGAGAAATGGAAAGAGAGGCGGAAAGAGAAAAGTGGAAAGAGAGAGATGGAAAGATGGAGATGTGGAAAGGGAGAGGTGGAAAGACAGAGAAATGGAAAGAGAGGCGGAAAGAGAAAAGTGGAAAGAGAGAGATGGAAAGACGGAGATGTGGAAAGGGAGATGTGGAAAGACAGAGAAATGGAAAGAGAGGCGGAAAGAGAAAAGTAGAAATAGAGAGATGGAAAGACGGAGATGTGGAAAGGGAGATGTGGAAAGACAGAGAAATGGAAAGAGAGGCGGAAAGAGAAAAGTGGAAAGAGAGAGATGGAAAGACGGAGATGTGGAAAGGGAGATGTGGAAAGACAGAGAAATGGAAAGAAAGGCGGAAAGAGAAAAGTGGAAAGAGAGAGATGGAAAGACGGGGATGTGGAAATGGAGATGTGGAAAGACAGAGAAATGGAAAGAGAGGTGGAAAGAGAAAAGTAGAAATAGAGAGATGGAAAGACGGAGATGTGGAAATGGAGATGTGGAAAGACAGAGAAATGGAAAGAGAGGTGGAAAGAGAAAAGTGGAAAGAGAGAGATGGAAAGACGGCGATGTGGAAAGGGAGATGTGGAAAGACAGAGAAATGGAAAGAGAGGCGGAAAGAGAAAAGTGGAAAGAGAGAGATAGAAAGACGGAGGTGAAAAGGGAGAGGGAAAGACAGAGAAATGGGAAAGAAAGGCGGAAAGAGAAAAGTGGAAAGAGAGAGATGGAAAGACGGGGATGTGGAAATGGAGATGTGGAAAGACAGAGAAATGGAAAGAGAGGTGGAAAGAGAAAAGTAGAAATAGAGAAGTGGAAATAGAGAGATGGAAAGACAGAGATGTATAAAGAGAGAACTGGAAAGAGAGAGGTGAGAAGACAGACAGGTGGAAAGAGAAAGGTGGAAAGAGAGAGATGAAAGAGAGAGGTAAAAAGGCAGAGGTGGAAAGAGAGAGGAGGAAAGAAACTTAAATCATTATGAGCCCGACGGCCGACGTACGCCCGATTCACAGATTTTTGGTATTATACTACCCGTGACCTGGTGAGTCATTGAAGTTTCAGATTATGAAACACTGAAGTTGCTTTCAACATTTAAAAAATTATCTATTTAATGAGAATTGAAAAAAAAATACTTACTGTATAAACAAATCGTATTTTCAAATCATATTCACTTGAAAATATTTTAAATATGGCAAAAAATATTTTTAAATATTTAAAATATTGTTTGTTTAAAGCAAGCTGAAATATAAATAATCATGCAATCGGGAAGGTGGGAAAAGAGAAGTGGAAAGAGAAAACGATGGAAAGAGAGAGATAGTGGTGAAAAGAGAGAGAAGTGGAAAGAAAGAAATGTGGAAAGAGAAAGGTGGAAATAGAGGTGAAAAGAGAGAACGGTTATTTTTTTATTTTTTGGTCCCACTGTCAATTCATGTATACACACGATTTCCCCCCTTCCTACACGATAATAAATTTACATCTTTCTTTCCTCCACTCTCTATATATGACCGTGTGCACGGTGACAAACACACAAGTATGCAAGCAAACAACGCTCACAGAGTTTTAGTATTACAAAGATACGCTCTATCTGTGAAATTGTGCATTTTATCCCATAAATATAGCATACCTTAAAATATATATATATATATATATATATATATATATATATATATATATATATATATATATATATAACAAGGCTCAGTGAGTGCTAGTAGTAATAAAACAGTACTCGATATAAAATAACAGAGTTAAAATTTATACTTATATTATATATACATCTCTTCCACACCGCTTGGTACAACTTTGAGCAACGTGACAATCGTCAGACGCAAATTGAAAACTCGAGTTGCTGGTAGAGAATAGCAAACACGGCCGTATTCAAATCAATGATTAAAAAAGGTTATCAGTATAATATAAACATAATATATACTTAATTATACTCACAGACTAGAGCTACAGAATCCCAAACGACGAAAATTACCAAATGACAAAATACCCCATCACCTGAAGACTTTCAACAGCAGCAACAACTAAAATGCATCGCACAAGTAACTCGAAGAAATAATAATGACATAATCAAGATGTTAAGTTTACATACTAACTTAAACAAAAGGTTAGGAAGGAATGTCCCATCTAAAAAAAAAATGATAACAGTTTCCGGACATGAGAAAACTATTTGCCTGAAAATATGTTTTAACAATAGCGCTAACTGTTCGATCAATGAATGTTTAACGTCTGCTATTAATGGGATAGATAGATAGATAGATAGATAGATAGATAGATAGATAGATAGATAGATATGAACAGACTAAGATAGATAGATAGAAAGATAGATAGATAGATAATATGAAAAGATAATGTGAAATAGATAGATAGATAGATAGATAGATAGATAGATAGATAGATAGATAGTGTGAAAAAGATAGGTAATGTGAAGAAAATAGAGAGATAGATAGACAGACAGATCGATAAATAGAAAGATAGATAGGTTGAGAGATAATGTGGAAAAAGATAGATAGATAGATAGATAGATAGATAGATAGATAGATAGATAGATAGATAGATGTGAACAGACCACGATAGATAGATAGATAGATAGATAGATAGATAATATGAAGAAAATAGAGAGATAGATAGACAGACAGATCGATAAATATAAATATAGATAGGTAGATAGATAATGTGGAAAAAGATAGATAGATAGATAGATAGATATGAATAGACAAAGAAAGAAAGAAGTTTTTCATTAAATGCTCTGATGGCCAGCTACTCTGAACAGCAATGTTTACTCATTACTAATAATGTTGATGACAACTCGACAAATAAATTTAACTTTTGTTAAATTTTAACCCGTTCTTTATTTGGTCTCCCCAAAAACGCGACGTTATGTTCCAAACAATATAGTACATTACAACTCTCGCTACCAAGAATAGCCATGCGCCTGCCTATGCTTCTTTTTTTTTTTGCGCATGCGTACCTTGCAGATTTATGTCTGCTCGAATGCAAATGGCCTATTTAACCAGCAGAAATAAAACAGAGTTGAATTCTTCTGAAATGTCAAAACGAAGTACAATAAATATTGTTTATGACCAATAAGAACAAATGAAAAAGGGTAACGTAAAAAACTGCAAAATTTCTCTTTTCAATGGAAGATAAATTCACAAGAAGTAATTTTTGTACTTACAGTCGTGTTTCTTACTTACATGAAGTATTGTGCGCTTTCATATATGAATGTATACATGGTCTGTTACACCTTGGTTTGAATATGCATGTCGTGTACTGACGAGCGACTCAGAATGAGGATTCCAGTCGAGATTCTTACATTCAAGTTATCATTAGCCTTTGAGAATGTTAGGAATCCATCGATCCTTCATCAGTTATGGGCTAAATAGCAAGCCAGTCTGGATTCTATGGCCGTGGTTGGTAAGCAGTCTAGAGAGAAAACGTTCGAATTCAAAAACATATGTAGATATTGCGAAGCATATAGTATACAGCCATCAGAACAAGCGTTTATTTCACAATGACACTATGATCCCTACTGCAGTCGATATATATATATATATATATATATATACATATATATATATATATATATATAAACAGAATTCGCCCTAAAATATGTACCATCTTCAGGAAAGGAAAAACGTGTATGGATATTGTAATAGTAAATTTATTTAAACATCACGAGATTAATACAAGTTACCTTTGCACTTACTACTATTTGGTCAACTTTGGGAAAAATGCTCAGCAGAATTTCTTGCTCGTGCATTTTCAGTTTCATGTCTAAGACACGCCAATGCCGAGGAAATATCGTACTACAGTAAACAGTGTTGATTTGATAAAATTACAAAAGACAAGTTTCTCATTTCCTGAAGTGTATATACATTTTTGGGCGGACTCTGTATATATATATATATATATATATATATATATATATATATATATATATATATATATATATTTAATAGCGTTAATTTCGCTAAAAGATATACCGAAATAACGGAAAATGATCTGGACATTGTTTTAGCGTCAAGAAGACTTACATAAAATGACGCTACTTGGGTGAAGAAGAATAATGAAAGTTTCGATGTACCTGTGAGAGCATTCGACTCTGCCCAAATTGCAGATTTAGTGGGCATATATATTTTAGACACCTTGAGTAGAGTAGTTAACCATTGCCAAGTTGGAATTTATAGAGATGACGGCTTAATCATTGTCCCTAATAGCAATGGTCCCTTGACTTCCAGCTTACATAAGAGGATCATTAGGGCCTTCAAATACCTAGGCCTTAAGAATGAAATATCTTCCAACCTTAAAATAGTCAACTTTTTAGATATCGCCCTCAACCTCGCTAAAGAGTCTTTTAAGCCCTTCCGTAAAGTTGATCAGACACCCCTATACATCAATGTCCACTCTAACCACCCAAAATCTGTAATAGATCACATCTCCCAAACTGTTAATACGAGAATAAATAGCCAAAAATCTTTAATGAAAAGAAATTTACAGACAACCAGGCTCTCAAAAATAGTGGTTTTAAACAGGAATTAAACTATAACGAAGAGCTAGAAAATCATAGTAATAATAGATCTAAAAACAGAAAGTGGAAAGTAATATGGTTTAACCCACCGTATTACAGGCTTTCCCACATTGATATAGGAAGTTTTTTTCCTGAGGTCAATAGACAAGCACTTTCATAGTAAACATCCACTATATAAAATTTTCAATAGGAAGACAATGAAAATTAGTTATTCATGTGTAATAAATATGGAGAAAACTATATCTTCCCACAATTGTAAAATACCTAAGAACTACCATAATTGTGAAACTCGATCTAGGAGGCCCACCTGCAATTGTAGGAGTAGAGCTAATTGTCCAATCGGGGAAAAATGTATGTATGAGAATGTAATATATGAAACTACAATCTTCCCCGAAGAAAATATCAACCAGAAAAAAAAGATACATAGGTATATCCGCTGGTAATTGGAAGCAGTGTCTATACAACCATAGACGCTCTTTTAAATATCGATACCTTAAAAATCATTATCCAAACACTACTGGGATCTGGTAGATGAGGGACTAACCCCGCATATCGAATGAAGATTCTTATCAAGAGCAAGAACCCCTAATAACTTCCGCGATCGGTGTGATCTATACATTGCGGAACAAAATTTTATTATTAAAGATAAAAATCCAGATGAGTTGTTGAATCTTCGTAGTGAGATCATTTCCAAATGTAGACATAAAAAAATGCTTTAAAACATAAACACAGTTTTATAATGTGTTGTTACCTATAACAGTTCGATCTTAGATCACTAATATCGGCCATGACATTTAAATGGAATCACTCTTATGAATATCTATATATATCATTGTCTGTGTTTATGTGGTGCTCTATATGTTTTTTGTTCATTTAATTTGTGATAACAAACTTTATTCATGTGTTGGTATATGTATATTTGGGTATGTAGGTAAATAGTTTTCCTAAATAACTGATATCTTTCGGCCGTTGTACGCTTCGGCCTTCTTCAGGTGGTTGGAATGTTGAACTGAACCCTCACTGGGGTAGACTGTTCTAGTTTCACGTGCCATGTCTAATGAATGTCAGTTAACAGTTAGGTTTGAGTTCAATACCTGGTTAAGGCAGTGGAGAACTTGGAGAGAGGGATTAACAGGAGATAAGTGATAATTGACATCCATTAGACATGGCACGTGTAACTAGAACCGCGAGCGAAATAAAGGGTTCATTTCGACATTCCAAACCCGTGAAGAAGGCCGGAGCGTACAACGGTCGAAACGTTGTGATAAATTTGGCAACAAAGCTGAGAGCAATAATCCGAATAATGTAAATAGTATATATATATATATATATATATATATATATATATATATATATATATATATATATATATATATGTGTGTGTGTGTGTGTGTGTGTGTGTGTGTGTGTGTGTGTGTGTGTGAATAAACACAAAATGAGACCTCACGCGTTTCGTCTTCTGAGGGAATTTATTAAGGTAAATGTTTCCTTCAGATGACGAAACGCGTCGGCTAATATAAGAAAGCGTAGTAGTCAACAACAGAAATGGCGGGTGTGACCTACGTTAAAAGGTACAAAATTAAAGAACTTGTGTAGTGTTTTAACAGACAACAAAAATATGACACAGAAATCCGGAGACTCAAAGGAATACCGAAATGGGGTCTTCCAGAAACTAAATAAACTACTAAGACTGAGGAATTTTGTTAGAAACAAAGAAAAGAGTGCTGAACTATTGTATCATAGCTAAGCTTCTGCACGGAAGTTAACACCCGACACTTCACAATTGAAGCGTAGGCCTGAAGCGATAGAGATGTGCTTTTACCGATGGATGCTAAGAATACTATGGATAGAACACGTGAGTAACGGAGAAGCTTTAAAGGAATTACGGGGAAACGCATGCTTCCGATCAGAAATAGGCAGATGAAATTTTGATGATATATAATGCGGAAAGAGGGCTTGGAGAGTCTAACACCCACAGGGAATACTGAAGGCAAATGATGCAGTGGGAAACAACGACTTTTATGAACTGTAAATAGACAAGCACAAATGGAACGAAAAGGAAATTTAATTCATAATTGATGGTAACGCCAACATCGCTAAATATGCGACCTTCAAAAAGTTAATGTAAAAAGTCATGATTGAATGATAGTATTCAGAGTTAAATTTGATTTAAAACTGGGTGAAACACAATGTCCTCAGATTAGAGAAAATAACTCCTAATTTCAAGTCAAAATCAACAAGTGATTCCAGGCTTCATGGAATTACGGATGTAATATTAAAGACAGGAATAGTAATTTGGAAACTATAGGGTGCGATGGATGAATTAATAATGTGCCTCCTTATTGAAATGACAGGTCCTGCAGACTGTAATGTATCTTTGAAGGGATTCTTGGTAGCCCATGCCTTAAAGAAATACAAAGAATTGTACTCACAAGTACAGCTCATGTATTACGAAGTCCTTTATCTATGCAAAATGTGTGATCTTAGCGGTTTTAATGATCAGTGAAACAAGACATGAAACCAATTCTAACCTTGGGTCTCTGGTTGGGACCCTGAAGGAAATGTCTCATAATAATAATAATAATCAATAAAATATGCGTCACATCAAATATGTGGCATTTGAGAACATCAATAATTCCAGTTGTGTTTGCAGTCCCAGGTTTGGTTTGGAAACGTTCCGATTGAAGGGATTCCTGTCTTAAATAAAAAAAAATATATGTTCTTTTAACTGCAGCTCACATCTTACGAAATCCTTTCTTATTATTTTTTAAATGTTCAGTGGAAAATGTCATTGCTATTTCTAACCTTAGGTCTCTGGTTGAGATCTGGAAAGAAATGAGTATACAACAAAAATATAAGGATATAATAATAATAATAATAATAATAATAATAATAATAATAATAATAATAACAACAACAACAACCACAACAACTGGGACGAAAGCTGTGACAGAAGGCCTAATTATTACAGTTCAGGACCAAAAAATTACAACCAAATCCTATGACTGTCACATAATCATCAGTTGGGAGACTAACCCGAAATGCAGGATCTGCAGAAAATATGAACTAGAAAAAAATGAATATACCCACAGACATAACAAGGTAGCGATATATACGCACTGGAAGATATGCAAGAAGCACAAGATCGAAACCCCTGAGAAATGGTATAAGCACCAACCAGACACAGTTACCCAAAATAACGATATGACT